TACAAAAAACAGAATTGGTTTTAAAAACAAACTTTTTTACAATTCTGCTGACAATTAAACACCGTTTTGTCAGAGTTATCTCATACATTAATTCATCTTAAGAAAAAAGATTTACACCGAGGTACGGCTTGTCATCACGCGCATAATTCCACCTAAACCAGTTGCAGCAAACACCTAAAAAAAAATGTAAAACGAATTTGCTTTTTCAAAATATAAATTTTTGATTAAGCAAGTTTTTGCAATGCTTTATTGAGAGGAAAAACTTTAAAACAATTATTTTTGATTTTTTTGCATAAGAAGATTTAGCAGGTGCTGTTTTAAAAATTACAGTACAGTAGCTTGTAATTTGTAAAAAAATTGGTATCTAGTAATATTCAACATAATCAATTAATAAATTTTTATTTTTCATCACAAAACTATTTTTAAGTTATTGAACTAAATTCAAAATTTTGCAGCAAAATGTCTTTAGCCTTTTGCAGCATTAAGTTAATTGCAAAATGTCTTTAGGTGTTTATAAAATTGTTTTTAATTTGTATTAAAGTTTCAAAACATGTAAATTAATTTTTTTTTAATTAATAAAAAATGCTTTTTGCTTTGTTAGGTTAATAGGTTAATAGTGAATATTACACGTGTCAATTTTTTCTTGTTCATGCTATTACCTTAACACGATAATTTTTTGTTATGTTTGTCAATTGCAGTGATTTCAACAAACACCTTGTTTACTTTTATATAAGAACTAATATGACATTAGTTATGGAAATATTTGCGAATTGATCAACCTTCTAGGACATTATAGATTTTAAAAGATAAATAAGTACATCATATTTGAAATCAATTGAAGAAAAAAAATTCTATAACCAACAAAATACTTTCGTTTAAGAAATACGACATATGATATGCAAATATTTGTCAATTGAACAATTTTCTAGAATACTATCTGATTTAAAAGATTAATATAATTATATTTTAATGTTTGAAAGTTATGACCATGTAAAGTTTCCAAGCCCCTAAAAACAAAATTAATTTGAACTGCATTGGTTTGAAATCGATGATGAGAGATGTTTAATATTGAAAAAACTGTTTAATATTGATAAAACCAAAAAAAATCAATGATGTTTAATACACTAAAAAAGTTCCATTTAATTTATGTTTTAGAAATCTAGATATAAATTTACTTTGTATTTTAAGTGCATTGAAACTTATATTAGTTGTGTCTATGTTTATTTTAAAAAGATAAAGTATAGGATATTTTAAAAAGATAATGCATCTCCCTAAAACTAATATTGTTATTTTGTACCTGGCTGATATTGGTTAGAAAGCCTCTTCAATATAAGTAAGTATATACTAATAATTCCAGGGGATTACATTTATAACTTTTATTTATAATTGTAATTCCCTGTCAAATTTTTATTATGAGTCAGCCATTTAGTAAATAGTAACATTGATTCATAATAAAATTTATAAATTTTATTTGAGTCAAGTTCTTTAACCAATATAAAAATGACTAAAGTAGAAAACTATAAAACACAAAAAACCATTACCACCACCAAGCTATCTAAATCTATCATTCACTAATACTTATGGTCTTTGAGGTAACTTTTGTTGAGTACTATCTCTTGCAAAGTTCTGTTGAGTCCTATCTTTTGCAAAGTTTACCAGACCTACTAGCTCTTTGTGAGACTAATATAAGTTCAGCTGTTTCATCTTGAAATCTTGGTATTAATAGTTATCTCCCTTTATTTTGTAAAGACTCCAATAGACACATGCTTAACTTGGGCATTTACATTTGTAAGAATTCACTCCTTTTGTCAGGAAACTAGGTTTAAATCTACAGACTATTTTTCTAATGTGATTTCATTTAGCACTATCAGACTATCACCTTAAAACTATTATCTCATTTTTCTTCATCATCGCAATCATCATGACAAATGTACTTTTTATGTAACTTCTTAGATTCAGGCTGGCATGGAATCTTTTATTCCCCATCAATGATTTAAAGTCTAGCCTCTTCTCCAGGGTTTTCCTCTCATTGTGCTGCTGCAACTTCTAATCATAACCATTACTTACATATCAATAGAGAAAAAAATTCTCCAGAAAACAGACGTCTGTTTACTATTGCTGAAAACCATTCTAAAAGGGTTTTGTCTAACGCCAAAGCTTGTTATTCTCAGGTCACAAAATCTTATATTTTAAAAAATTGGCTCCAGTGACTTCTGAAGAATTTTTATCAATAGTTATAATAAGGGAAAATCTGTTATTTCTCCTTTCTTGCATGGTCCAATGAAAAAGGATTTGTCCAGCGCAAAAATAGAAACATGTTTTGAAAAATTTGGACATAGTGCACAAGACTGTGAGGTAACATGTAAGATCTGTTCACATGAACACCAAGCTAAAGACTTTAAACATAATAAAGTTTTAAAAAAAAACAGGGAATTTAAAAATAATGATCCTGTATTCTCTTAGAAACAACATCATTATGTTTGCCATCATTAAAAGTAAAAATTAAAAGAATTCTATAAACAGTATTAATTGATTCCCGATGCTGCATCACAGTGGTTTATACTGAATCCATACGATGCTTAGTTTCAACAAGTCAAAAGTTCATAACAACATTGAGAGGAACTGTACAGCTATTAGTTGATTTGGAAATCAATGACACTAAAAATTAATTTGGTAATCATAAAATATACACTTTTCTCATTCAATTAGGACAGCATCATAGAGCTGAACTAAAGTGCCTGCAATAAATAACCATCTGTGAAGTTAGGTTTTGTTGATTACAGGTATGATTACTTGAAAGAAAGAAATGGATTAACTCTGGCATTCTTGTATCATGACTTTGGGTCTACCTAAAGTATGTGTATGTATGTTGTGCAAAAGACAAAATGTGATCAGTCGTGGACCCCAGTTATTGTAGTTAAGCAAAACAACTAGTCAATTGATGTGGAAACTGCGGATTGTGTGCATACATTTCATATTGCACACTTTTGCCTCCCCTTACTCCTTCAGAATTTAAATGAATTTCTTAAAGTGCTTTATTGATCAAAAGTGATAAATCAAAAATGACTTTCAAGTTCAGAATGACAATTAATAAGTTAGTTGTCACGTTAGGAACTTATCTTTAGGCTTTAATGACTAGAAAATAACTATTAACGATTTTGTAATTATAAGTAATTGTCAAGGGAGCTTTTAACGAATTCATAATTCTCAAACAGTAGTTACAATTGTAAGTACAACTTGTGTTGTACTTACAATTGTAATTAGATTGATATATAACACTGTCAATTATAATGGCAAATAACTCTATAAAAATGAACATTTTTTACTATGTTTGAGACTATGTTAGAAACTATGTTAGAGAATGATTAAAGCTATTAACAGCTTTAAAACATTCTCTAAAATAATATTAGCAAAACTCCTTTAAAACTAGAAAAAAAAAAGAAATATATATATATATATATATATATATATATATATATATATATATATATATATATATATATATATATATATATATATATATATATATATATATATATATATATTCTCACCTCATTAATGTCAATAATAATGCAAAAAAATAAATTGTAACCTTTTCATGCCAGTTTAGCAAAACTCCACATAAACTATCTGTAGGTTCATTGAATCCTTTGTAAATGTATTTAAGTAAGGTATCAACCTGTGTCTGTGATAATTGTTGTACTATGCTATCAATTTCAGTAGACTTGGTTTGAGAGAGAACTCGAACCATTAGCTGAAAGACACGAGCCTGAAATTATAAATAGCAGATGTAACTTTTAACTGTGTTATTTGAAATCATCATAAAACCAGGTTAATTTAAAAAAAGATTGCTTTTTTATACTTAGACAACATTAATTCATTTTTTACATTTAACAACTATTTATATTTTTTTCTGTTTTTGTTTTTTTTTTTTGTTTGAAAAGATACTACTTTTATATAATGTAAATTAAAATAAATTACTAAAATGACTATAAATTACATATTAAAGGCCTAGTTAACCAAGATTTCTGTATAAATATGTATTTTATCAACCTTAATTTTTATCAACCTTAAAATTAGAGTACAAAAATCTTGATTTATTGCTTATTTTTTTAAACAGGAAAATTAAAATTAATTACAGCAGTCCTAGGATGCTGTTAGGTTAAATCTTACCACCTTGTGCTAAGAAAAAGCAGTCAAACTCTAACAAATTCAATATTATAAAAATCATAATGGAATATCAAAAGATGGTAAAAAGTGTAAACCGCAAATAAAACTTTTTTTACAATTTGGTTATGAATACTTACCTTTTCTGGTGCACCAGCATTAAATGGAGGTTGCTCAAGTAGCAACTTTAAAGCTTCAGCTGTTTTCTTTCTATAGTATGCAAGATAGTTAAAGAAAAAGTAATTAAAGATGAATATACACAACAATATATCAGTAGGGGGGGTTCATAATCGTCTTTTTTAAGATTTTTTATAGTTTAACCAATTTTTCTTAATTAGTTTTTTATGCTGATTCTGAAAATCATAATCATTTTTTTTCATTTTAAATATTTAGCCTTCTATTTCAATTTTAATAAAAGTGAATATATTGACAAAAAAAAAGCATTGTTAAAAATAGATGAAATTATTATTGTCATTAATATAAAAAAAGTAGAAAACTAGAAATCTTTTTCTGTTTAATTTATGAATAATATACCTTATCATTTATAAGTAACAAAAAAAAATTAAGCATTATATATGAAAATAATTCATACAGTTTGTTATTTACTATTGAAAATGGAAAATAACTATAAAAGTCATCATATGTGATAGAGATTGCTGCGTGAACTTTCCTTATAGATCATCTAGGTTATGAGTGTGTTCTTTGATAGACATACGATGGAGGTTTGTATTTTTATATCAACAATCATGTATTTAAACAGAATAGACCTCCGCGACAATGACCTACATTGTATCCCTAAAATAGAAAACCTCATTTTTCGAACTTTTTTTTTCATTTTAACATATCTTTATCTACTTCAATAATGTCTAGTTCACAGCTAAATGGACTGCCTTGTAACTTTAATCAAGCTAAAACAGAACTCATCTTGCACACCTGATGTAAAGTCTGCTGCTCTTCCATTGTTATCCATTTGTTTTTGTAGCTGGTTTCAACTATATTCCATAGTTTCAACTTTTTGGACAAATAACTGGACAATAATTCTCCAAAATATTTTTAAACTGCGCGAACCTTCATTTTTTATATGGTTTAAATGATTAAGTATACATCTACTGTTGAAATTAAATGGTTTTTTCCAAAGCTTTCCAACTGCAACAACTTAATTAGAAAGTTAATACTAATCATATTCCATCATCAACCAAACACATAATACTTTTCTCTTTTTTGAAGTCCTGAGGCTAACTCTTGCCAAAATATTTTAGCAAGAATGATACAATCATTCAACCTCTTTGAGGTATACTTATTAACTGGTTCTAGGATTTTTTTTAACTAGCTATTCACTGCGTTTTAGAGTAAAGCAGAAAATTTCAAAATTTGATCACCCAGTTTGTTTTTTATAAAGCCTTTTAGGTAGCGGTGTTTCTTTATACTAACTGTTTATCTTTAGAATTGTTAAAACTTGAGAATTTAACTGAACTTCTACTGACTTGCACTTTAAAAGAAGATTTATTCTTGACTTATAAAAAAGTGAAAAAAAAAAAAAAAACTTGAATAGCCTCCTTGATAGCTTGAATAACGATTAAAAATAAATAAAAAAAAGGAAATTAAGATACTTTGAAGCAATCTGTCTTTTTGATTACTTAAAACATTTTGTTTAGAAAGAGACTTGAGATAAAACTTTTTTTTTGAAGCAATCTGTCGTTTTACTTATTTAAAACATTTTTTTAGAAAAAGACTTCAGATTAAACTTTTTTTTTCTAAAATGCAACGATTAAAAATCAAATTTATCCAATCAAAATTTGAATAGCGGAAATTTGAAAGAAAAGTTGCGTAACTTTATACGCAAAGAAACTTTTGCAAAGACTTTGAAAACTGAATTGTTTATTAAACTTTTCTCAAAAAATTAATTAAGAATAACAAGCTAAACAAAGAATATAGAACTTTGGACCCCCCCCCCCCCTAATATCAGCATTTAGTTCCTAATGGTTTTTATATTTTATATGAAGACATGTAAAAAAAAATTTATTCAAGATTTCACAAATAGAATAAAATAACTTTAAAATATTTTTTCAAACAAATTTACTTGAATGAATGTAGTGACTTCCAAGAAATAATTAAAATAATACAAACTCTGACAATAATCTATTTAAAAATTAATAGTCATAATGAACACATAACCTTTGCAACAAAAACAAAATTAGTCTTAATGAATACATAACCTTTGCAACAAATTAAGTATATGACTACATAACCATTGCAACAAAAACTTGAATCTTCTAAATTTCATCTAACAAATCAAAAACTTTAAACGAATTTAAAATGCAGTGCCGTGCAGATCTATTTTAGCCCCAGGCAGACTTTCTTGAGGGGCCCCCAACCACAATTTTTTTTACCAATTTTAATGTATATTATTACAATGTAGTATTATTACTGTATTTCAAGAAAAACTTTTACAACTTGACATATTCTTCCAATTTTGCAATGCAATCTTTCTGGCCTTAATTATTGCAAACTCTCTTATTATTTCCTCAAACTTTAGACTAGTGCTTATTTTATGCTCAATGCTCAGTAATGCTAGCCCATTGAGTCGCTCTTGTAACATGTGGTCCTCAAATATCTCAATCAATTTCAGTTTGGAGAAAGTTCTCTCACATGTAGCAACAGCGACTGGAATTGTCAGTAGAATTGGAACTGCTATACAAAGGGAAGGGTATAGCACTTCCAATTCTACTGACAAGGTACTCTGTCATATTTTTCATGGTAATATATTGAAGCACTTCAATTGGTGATGTCACATCAACTGATAGTAAGTTGATAATATTCCAAATTTCTGTGAAAAGTTTTTGGCTGTCAATATCACTTCTCCCCTTTCTATACAGTTTTGTTTTCAATTCTTTACAACTTGTCCTTAACCCTTCTTTATCAATCATTAAAAGTTGAGGCAGCTCTGTATCAATTTTAATGCAATTTTCTGAGCTTCAAGTAAAAAACTGTCGAAAAATATTTCTAAAAGCACTGAGAGGTACTTTACAGTTATTAATATACTGCATAGCTAATTAAAGGTCCATTTTTTCAGACTGCAAGTACTTGCTTGCAATATTATTCTGCAGCAGGGGTTCATACTATATCACAGTCTTTATAATGAAGGTATATGATGATAATTCGTTTCTCAAAGATCTCAGTTCAGCAAAGGCAAAGGGATTACTTGTTGAGCCTTCTAATTCCTCTAGTGCCTTCTAGTTCCATGATTGTCCATCTATGTGGTGATGCTGAAAAAAATGCATAAGCGTTGAAAATATCTAAAAAACAACTTTGTGGATGCATTCCATTTGCCTGCATCAGAAACAGTAGGATTTAATGAATGAGCACCACACGGAGAGAAGAAAGCCAAAGGGTTCTGTTCCAAAATTCGTGCTTGCACTCCTTCGATTTAACCTTTCATGTTGCTTCCATTGTCATATCCTTGTCCTCTGCAGTCATCAATATTTATGTTGTTTTCAGTCAGAAAGGTAGTAATTAATTTTGTAATTCCTTCACTTGTTTGATCTTCAGCTACAAGGAAGCCCAAAAAATATATCTTAATTGTTGCAAAACTATCTGAAGTTTTGACAAAATGTATCACTACAGTCATTTGCTCTTTATGGGCCAAGTCTGGAGCGCAATCCAGATAGGAGAGCAAAGTAATTTGTCACCTTTAGGCAGGCTTGGTCGGGAAGCGGGAGCGATCAATCTCAAATAGTGACGAAAATTATATTTAGTTGCGAAAAACTGGCCAGGTTTTTTAGTCGTTTTGAGAACATTTAAGTTTATGTACGAAACAAAAAAATTTTGTTTAACGGACATACATGGAAACATAAAAAACTTTAATGTTCTTAAAACATCTTGGTACGAAAGAGTTAAAAGAATCATTGCGAACACTAAAAACCCGCCAAATTAACGAACCAACTAATTCTATTGGTTCAAAAAATACGCTGACTAAGCAAAATAAAGTTCTAGAGTATTCTGTTGAAATGTTTTAGAAATTGTGTTATTCACAATTTGTTACGTTTTGAGATTTCTAGCATTAATTGTTTTAAGAATATATATTATTGGTTTACAAAAATAAATGTTTTATATATTAATTAAATTGTCAAAGTTTTAAAAGTTTATTATAAACAATAGATTTTAGAAGTATTTTCTTATTTTTATTTAAAAAGTGTGAATTCTTTATGTAAATGTAATTTTTTGTATCTGTTTTTTTATCGTCATGTATCTTTTAAAGCAATTTTTATGATTTAAACAAAGACTTACAAAAATAATTGCGTTTTTAATGAAGTTATAACTATTAAAGTTAATAAAACTAATTATGTAACAAACATAAGAAGTTTCTGGTTACTAAACACAAACAACGCATACAAAGTAACTCGCAGATAAACAAGCACCGCGCCTGAGGTCATGATAGAACACAAATATATATAGCAAATAACTAGATATAAAGAAAAGTTTCTAGATATTGGTTTACTAACTCTAATTATTTTCGCTTAAGTTGCCATTCTTAAAACTCGTTATACTTTTTTCTGCTTTAAATACTAATTAAAATTAAAAAGCCCACTCACTAAACATCATCAGCAATATTGTGAAGCAGTTTCGCTTCCTCGTCATTAAGTATTTTTAACCTTTTTAGTTGATTTCTATCTTGTTAATTTAATTTCTATAGTAATTCAATGACTAGTTATTTCATTTGTTCATCTTACTAAGAAGAATTGCTTCAAATATGTTAAACTTTTTAAACTACGCGAAACATAAAATAGGTATCAAAAAAATTAACTTTTTTTATTTATAAAATAATTTAGTTTAAATAAAACTAAAACTTGCAAACTTTGTTAAATAAAGAATATTTGTTTCCTTTTTAAACAATTGTAAGATGTTACTTTATATAAAAAACATCGCTAAATTTTATGAAAAAATTTATAAAAGAGCGATGTTTCGAAAATATTTGTTCTAAACGTAATTTATTTAGCTTTAAGTTTTTATGCATTTAAAGATATTTTATTTGCCTAATTTTTTTTTTTTTTTTTTGTAATTGTTTTTTATTGGTCCAATTAATCTTTGCGCTTTTTTTTTTGTTTTTTAAAAAGTTCTCAAAACAACTAAAAAGTCTGGCCAGCTTTTCGAAACTAAATATTATTTATGTGGTCAGCAATCGAGAGCAATTGCTCCCGCTTCTCGACCAAGCCTGTTTAGGCTATGAATAATTTCAGTTTGCACTTTTCTTGACATAAGTATGATTAGATCATTTTAAATCTTGTTGCTTAAATAATGATTTAAATAATGCAACTTATTGTTGGTGACACTACCAAACGATTGCCAGTATTGCTGTTCTTGCTGAGAGATACTCTGATCCTGTTGATCAATTGTACTGTTTGCTTTCAAGCGACTTTCCAGCTCCTTCCATTTTATCAAGGAATTGTTATACTCTTGTGAACAATCATGCTCACTTAACATGGAATAAATGTTTTTCTAATCATGAAAGCCACTGGTTTTTTGTTTATTGACACTAAATAACTTGCAGCAGAAACAGTATACAGCATCTGTTTTTTTGTGAATACAAGCCATGATCTTATTATGGTTTGAGCATTTGTCAGGAATCTATTGTAGTTTGAAGCACAAAATCTTCGTTTTGCTTTGGAATCTGAAAAGCAATTCTTTGGGAAAGCATAATCCTTTACCTGAATTGGTCCTGATAGAACTAACTGTTTTCAGAGATGAGACAAATCATCTGGCCAGTCTGCAGGATCTGAAGAAATCTTGTGAAGCTCAACTCAGGAATTTTTGTTTGTGTCAGTTCCCTTGATGT